ATTATATATATTGTCATTATTAGATTTATGTTGCTAAGTTGCGAGTATGTGAGAAAAGTTTTTAAGTTAGCTGTTTTTGGATCATTTTTGGATTTCCTGTCATTTTAGAAATAGCCTTAAAATATTTAATAGTGACTATCCATTTTGGTTGTAATTTACTCAAAGCAGCTACTTATCCCTCTCTTTGACCACACTAAGGATATAAAGTAAATGTAAATGTAGTGACACAATACAAATCGTTTTTTTTAAACAGTTAAAGGAAATCAATCATTTCTCAATAACGTTAAATAAAATTCAGAAGCAATAATGTTTAAAAAAGACTGGTCCTGATGAATCATTTGACATGATGAAAATCAGTTATTAGCTACAAAGTTGTTTGTTTCACTCATTTGAGCAATTTGGGTATAAATACATGAAGTCATCAGTTTTAGTGACATCACTTATAAATATAAATATGTWTGCTTAAAACTGATTTTAATCCAAAAACAAAGGAGTGTCCACTAATCTTCGGAGTGTGTTTATGTTTTGTTTGGTATAGAGAAAACCATTAGTTTATTAAAAGTCTGTGTCTAAATTTAGAACAAAGAAGCTTCTAAGGTGACTCAGTTTTCTCACAAAATATCAACATGTTTTACTTTTTGCTCATTTGTATAATTTGTTATTTTTGATGCTAAATCCCTGGTTGTATCTCGTGGATGTAAGCAGCAGCTTATTTCAGTTGAGAAAGAAGTAACAAAAAGAAAACAAGACTGAGGTAAGCTGATTTTGGATTCAAAGCTGAGCAACTCACATTTACTTATCTTTTGTTTTGTTTTCAAAAATGAAACCATCTGTTTTTTGTTTTTTTTTTGTTTGTTTTGTTTTGTTTTTTGTAGGTGAGCTCCAATTTTCATGTTGTTTTCAGGGATACCATGCAGCTCATTCACAGTGGCCATCAAGGGAGAACTGCTTTACAGAGGAACTAAAAGGAAGATGAGTTGACAGGTTCTTTTTGTTTGTTTATTCACTTTTATCCCTTTCAAATAATTGTGTTTTTTAACTAGAGAAATCAGAGAAATTTTGTTGATTTCCTCAAAGGACTTAATATAAATTAAAAATTAATTTCACAATGTTTCCAGAATTTTACCTATTTCCAACCATTTGTCCTAAAAATCGGTCTGAGCAAACAAAACACATTAGAAAATTTGCACATTTTGAAAGAAAAGAAATTGTGTGTGATGCAGAATAATACCATTGTTCTATTTTTGGGTGATGTGTTTGGCTATAAATGGTTTTATTTTGTGGTTAGTCAACATCTGAGATTAATTTGCCTCATAAGAGGTTTTTATAAAAGTCTTTTATTTTCTGTGCCATAAAATATACAAATCAATAAAAACTTTCACCAGTAATGGGTCATTATAGGACATTAATAAACACATACTTTATCCTCGAAACAAAACTTTATTCCTTTTTGAATACTTGTGCTTTTTTGTTCTTKTCATCAGACCATAACTCCTCCATTTGAAGCACTAAGATTTCAATTCACAAAATGATGGTATTTATTGATTTTAAAGTGCATTACAATTAAAGATGTTTTTTATAAAGAACAAAAAGAAGAAAACAACAACAGAAAATTTTCACACAGAAGGAAGGAAACAATGCTGCCACCACTTGGTTGGTAAGAAAATAAAACCTGCAATACAGTAAACTGACATTATGAAATATTTTTAAAAAGCATTATTACGGTTAATGTTTTGTTAATGTAYGGATCAAAGTAAAATAAGCAGGTATTTTAAACCATTTTACCAAGTGTAATAAATTAAACCTCCATTTTATGTAGACAGAATTATCAAAATTATTGTSCTTTAGCATTGTTTTTATCAGAACTCGCATCAACATAACAACATGGTAAACAGACCAAAAACACAAAGTCTTTCTAAATACCAGTGGGATTGTGGGAAACTTATAGAGATTTCTACAATATAAAAAACATCCAACAAAGACTTAAGGACAGGGATAAGAGACCTCAGCTCCAGTTGGAAAGGGTTGTTATTCATTCCTCTTCCAGTTCCTTCCCTTGTTGTGTTTTCAAGCTCCTGGGCTGATTTCAGACAAGATTAGATCTGATGTTTTTTTTCATTAGACAAATTGTTTTCTCCACTCATCACACTTTTGTTTGTAGAGAGATTGCTTTATAATTGGTAAACTTTAAAAACCTGTCATTTTTACCTGCGTTACAATTGGAAACATTGTAATGTAACACTGGTGACAGCATAAAGAAGAAAATTGAGCAACGATGTGACATGTTCTCATGATAATTTTACTCCAAGCTTTTGTCACTAACATAAGTTCAGATCTAAATTAATTTATTAATCCAAATTAATTATTTATAAGCAATAAATCAAATAAATATTTCATGTGACATGCAATATTGCATTATCATTTTTCCTCTCTTTATATAACATTCATTAAAATGTTTTTTTATTATTATTATATCTCCTCTGAGGAATACAAAATTGTTACAATTTTATGTTTTCTGCCCATCTTCCCACGACAGTTACAATTTTATGTTTTCTTAACACCAACTATAGGGTTTACTGTGTTAATATTTTGTCTGGATTGGGAACAAGTTATGCTCCAAAAGCTTTTTTCTGTTGGCTAAAGCAGTCAAACTTACCAGTGCTTTTTATGAGGAAACAGCGTCCATGTTGGGATTTTTTTTCTGTCTAGATCATTCAAAACAATATTTATCCTTTTTTTGTCTTATAATGGATGGATGGACGAATGGAGGATGGATGGATGGATGGATGGATGGATGGATGGATGGATGGATGGATGGATGGATGGATGGATGGATGGATGGATGGATGGATGGAAAATCTTTTATTATTCACTTTTAACTCAAACTTGTTGCTAACAACCAAAAAAAAGTTCCTTCAAATTGATTTTTTCATCATGATTTTTCAAACAAGCTATTTTTTGGGGGGAAATATAAATGTATTACCTTGATCATTTGTACTTGAACTAAAAGCTTGGTGTGAAGCATTTGCAAACATTTTATTTTATTTYTTTCGTGATACATTTTGCAGGGATCACCACAGTAAGCAAACTCATATGAAAGTTTTGGCAATATACAGTTTTGAAATTACAAGACCTGGTTGATCGGACTGGTGCGGCCCGGGCTGGGACTTGGCTGTCTGCTCTTCTCCACCCCAGACTGAAGGGGCCTACCTCCTGGGTTCGGGCGTGAGCTGCCCTCTGCTGGGGGTAGGTGCATATCCTGGGCCTGGGGGGTATAATGCATGTATGGGGAGTGTGAGTGGATTGTGGCGTCCATCTTGTGTGTCTTTGAATGAGTGGGTGAGAGGATGAGGGTGGGACTGTATGAGTGTGTWTATGTATGCTTGTATTTATGTCAGGCTGGGAATTGGGTGGCCCCTTCTTCTTCGGGTTCATTTGAGGGCCCACTACTCCCCTGCCATGCTGTCCTCTGGTGGGTTGTGCCTTTGCCCGCCGGCGCGCTGGAGGCTCTCGTTGTCCGGGGCTGGGTGCTTGGGCGTGTGCCGGCTCGGCCCGGTGGCTGCCCGGTGGAGCTGGGTTCCCCCTGGCCCTATCGGGCCTTGGCCCAGGGTGGGGTGCGGCCTGGGGGCCTGGGCCTCTGTGTCGGTGCCTGGATCCACT